TCCTCCAGGTTGAGCACCTTCACGAAGCCGTCCTTTGCGAGCAGCGCGTACCGCCGCGACCGCACCCCGAGCCCCACCAGCTGGTCGTTCAGGTCGAGCTCGCACCCGATTGCCCTCGTGAAGTCCCCGTTCCCGTCCGACAGCAGCATGACATCGTCGCCGATGCCCAGGTTCTCCTTCCACGCCCGCATCACGAAAGCATCGTTCACGGAGATGCAGGCGATGTTGCCCACGCCCTTGGCCTTCGGCTCCCGGGCGCACGCACGAACCCCGGCAGTGCTTCACGCGAGCGGTCGGGGTGAAGGCCCGGGACGGCGAAGAGGATCGACTTCTTCCGGCGGTGAGGCGGAGAGACGGTGGTGGTCCGGGCTCGCCGGCGGGGTCGAAGTAGGTGAGGGTGGCGTCGGGGAGCCTGTCGCCCACGGAGATGGCGGCGCGGGTGGCGGCGGTGGAGAGGCGGAGGGGCTTGCCGGGGGACCGGCGGCAGGGGACGGCGAGGGGGGAGGAGCGGCGGCGTAGCGCCAGAGAGGGGAGAGAGAAGGGAAGAGAGACTGAGAGAGGGAGATGGGTCGGCCCAGAGTGTCAATGGGCCGACCCCCCAACCCTAATGAAACCCCAAATTTTAGGGCCATATTTGAATAAAATTAAGGCCCGACCCCAAAATACCCCAAATTTTAGGGTTGGACCGGGCCGGCGCGGGTCGAGCCGGGCCGGCGCGAGTTTGATTGACACCCCTAGTAAGAACCCTTTTGAGTCGATTCGACGAACGGTCCACTCTTTGCATAAACGGGCATATTATGTGAATCCAGCAACCAAAATCTATTTTTCAATGACAAACCCATATAATGTACACGATAAAGGATTAGAAGAATATTGACAACAAAAGTTGAGGACAAATATTTCTATTTCTATTATACTATTGAACGAGCATTTATATAAAGAATATTTTTTATCTTGTCTAGAAATTAACAACTACTATGAAAAAAAAGAAAAAGAATAAGGTATTTCTACTCAAAGTATAAACCACAGAATTAGTAATTGTTATTTGTTTGATAATTAACGAATGTAGATTAATTGAAATTTGAAATGCCCGTGTAAGTTCACCTCTTATATTTTTCATTTATATTTATGTACATATGCAATGCCATCTATCCGTTCAATAAATATTTTACACAATATTTTTGGAAAATATATTTTCTTAATTAATTCAATATTATTATTTATTGTCTCATTAATTTTAAAATAAGTTCCGTTTTAAACTTATTCACTTCAAAATAACTGATTTTAATGGTTTTTTGTTTAGGACTGTAGTAAGTTATGAATTAACATATAACATTTCTTTTAGGAAAAAAACGTCTGTGCGCCGACAAATAAGCATACTACGATCACCGTTAAATTTTTATTTTTTTTAAAAACTCAAATTACGTAGAACAGGCGAATTTTCGATATTTGAACAGTCATCACACCACTATATCACAACTACTCAATCTTACGATTATGGTAACGCTTTCAATTGATTTGACGAATAGTCCACTTTTTTGCCAAAAGGGACATATTCACAAATTAAGTAACCAAAATCCAATTTTTTTTTCATAAAGAGACTTTATTAATTTAAATCCCTTAAATGAAAATATGGCAACCCAAAAATAAAAACCCACCTTTTGAAAAGTCTATCCATATTTCTATGCATAGAAATAAAGACAGTTGTATTTCCAATTCTTCAACAATTATTGCAAAGTTCTTCAATTCAACTCAAGCATACGATTTTAGTCACATTTTCAAGTAACTCAATAAATAATTGGCTTTTGCGGAAAATGGTATATATGTTCATGAATTTGGAAATTGTGTTTCTAAGAAAGAAGTAATGATTCTTATTCAATTTCTAATGGCAAATCCATATAATCTACGCGATGAAGAATTTGAAGAATATTGATAATCAAAGTTTAGGACGAATATTTCTATGTCTAATGAACTATTGAACAATCAATTGTAAGAAGATTTTTTTTTCTCTTGTTTGGAAATTACCAATGTACTATGAAAAAATAGAAAGGATAGAGTATTTCTACTCCAAGTATAAACCATAGAATATTAGTAGTTATCATTTGCTTGATAATTCGCAAATGTAGATTAATTGAAATTCAAAATGCCCGTGCAAGTTCACGTCTTTGTTTTTCATTTATATTCATATACATATGCAATGCAATCTATTCGTTCAAGAGATACTTCACACAACTTTTTTGGACACACCAGAATATTTTCTTAAGTAATTCAATGTTATTTTTTTTTATTGTCTCATTATTTTTTAGATGAGTTCCGTTTTAAACTTACTCACTTTGAAATATCTAAAAATTTAACGGTAAAAACCGTTAACTAATCATTAGTCGGAGGAACTATCGATGTGTAGTAAGTTATAAATTAACACACGATGTTTCCTTCGGGAAGACATACGTCCATATGCCAACACATAAATAAGTGTCCCGTGCTCATCATTAAAATTTTTAATTCTTTTAAGTTACTCGAATGGTGTAAAACAGGCGGACTTTCGATATTCAAATAGTCATCACACCACACATCGTCAACATCAAAACCAACTCAATTTCCCGATTATGGTAAGAACCCTTTTGAGTTGATTCGACGAAGTCCACTTTTGCATAAACGGGCATATTTTGCGAATTAAGCAACCGAAATCCCTATTTTTCAATGACAAACCCATATAATGTACATGATAAAGGATTAGAAGAATATTGACAATCAAAGTTGAGGAAAATATTTCTATTTCTATTGTAGTATTGAACAAGCATTTATATAAAGAATTTTTTTCTCTTGTCTAAAAATTAACAATTACTATGAAAATAAGAAAGAATAAAGTATTTCTACTCAAAATATAAATCGCATTTGCTTGATAATTCACAAATATAGCTTAATTTAAATTTGAAATGTTCGTGTAAGTTCACCTCTTATTTTTTTCATTTATATCTACGTACATATGCAATGCAATCTATCCGATCAATAAATATTTTACATAATATTTTCGGACATATTACAATATTTTCTTAAGTAATTCAATATTATTTTTTTATTGTCTTATTTCTTTAAGATAAGTTCCGTTTTAAACTTATTCACTTCGAAATAAATGATTTTAACGGTAAAGCTATTTTTTTTTTGGGTCAGTAACGGTAAAATTGTTAACTTATCATTTTTTTGGAGAAACTATCCATGTGTAGTAAGTTATGAATTAACATATAATGTTTCCTTTGGGAAGAAAAACATCCGTACGCCGACAAATAAGGGTACCACGATCACCATTAAATTTTAATTTTTTTTAAGTTACTCAAACTACATAGAGTAGACGGACTTTCAATATTTGAACAATCATTACACCACATACCACCACATCAAAACTATTCAATCTTAATGGTAACGCTTTCAATTGATTTGACAAATAGTCCACTTTTGCCTAAAGGGACATATTCACAAATTAAGTAACCAAAATCCAAAAAAAAATTCGTAAAGAGAATTTATTAAATTAAATCCTTTAAATGAAAATCTAGCAACCCAAAAATGAAAACCCTTCTTTTGAAAAGTCCATCGATATTTCTATGCATAGAAATAAAGACAACCGTATTTCCAATTTTTTTAACAATTATTGTAAAGTTCTTCAATTCAACTCCAGCATACCCATCTTAGTGAAATTTTCAAGTAACTCAATAAATAATTGGCTTTTGCGAAAAATGGTATATATGTTTATGAATTTGGAAATTGGGTTTCTAAGAAGGAAGTAATCATTCTTACCCAATTTCTAATGACAAATCCATATAATCTACGTGATGAAGAATTTGAAGAATATTGACAATCAAAGTTGAAGACGAATATTTCTATGTGTATTGTACTATTGAACAATCAATTGTAAGAAGATTATTGAATTAACAATGTACTATGAAAAAAAGAAGAAGAAAGAATACAACATTTCTACTCCAAGTATAAACCACAAAATATTAGTAATTGTCATTTGCTTGATAATTCGCAAATATAGATTAATTGAAATTTAAAATGCCCGTGCAAGTTCACGTCTTTGTTTTTCATTTATATTCATATATACATGCAATGCGATGTATCCGTTCAATGGATATTTCACACAATTTTTTTTGAACAAGCCGTTATATTTTCTCATGTAATTCAATGCTATTTTTTTATGGTCCCATTTTTTTTTTCAGATAAGTTCCGTTTTAAACTTATTTACTTTGAAACAACCGAATTTAACGGTAAAAACCGTTAACCAATCATTTTCCGGAGGAACTTACCCATGTCCAGTAAATCATGAATTAACGCACAACATTTCCTTTGGGGAAGACATACGTTCCGTACGCCGACAAGTAAATAAGCGTCCCGCGATCACCGTTAAAAATTATAATTTTCTTAACTTAACAGCCGGACTTTCAATATTCGAACAGTCACCGCACCACATTAGAACTACCCAATCCCCCGAATATGGTAACAGCTCCTTTCAACTCGATCCGGCGAACGGTTCACTCTGTGCAAAAATGGGCATGTCCGACGAATTCAGCAACCAAAATCCCCCACCTGCTCTTTTTCGAAAGGGGAAACCCGCATTAAATTCCAACCCATGAAATGGAAGAACCCCCCCGGGGCAATATAGAAAGGGCAAAATCCGGGGCAGGGAAAAACAGCTGGGCATCGATCCGACGGCCAGGAACCCCCCCACCCGGGTCGATCCAACGGCGGACGCGAGCCCCCCGATTCAACTCCAGTTCATAGAGCCCGGCGGAATCCGTCGCCTGGCCTCGGTGGATTCACCTATAAAAGCCCACCCAAACAGTGCCTCCAAACACTCACATTAAAAAAATCCCTCCCCCCCAAAAAAAAAAAACAAGGGCAAAAAAAAAAGAAAAGAATCCTGCTGAATTTCGCTCGCCGAAAAAGAGAGGAGGAGAAAAAAAAAATCGAAAAAGAAAAAACCCTAAAACTCCCCCCTGCAACTCGACAGCTCTCTCTCTCTCTCTCTACCCCCTGCTCGTGGTGCGAAAATCTGGTTCTTGCTCCTTCGTCTTCGTCGTCGTCGTCTTCACTCGATTTCCGATTCGCTTGCCCTCTGCTGTGCGCGCGCGTGTTCTCTAGGGTTCCGGCGGCGGGTGCGGGCGGCGGCGGCGGCGGCGGCTCGCGAGGTCGATGTGAAGATCGGCCCTTCGGGAAGGGAGCGGGTGTCGGAGTTCGCGTGTGGGAGGGAGGGCACGGGGTGTCGTCATGTCGTCGTCGTCGTCCGATAAGGAGCTGGAGGAGCAGCTCGCGGAGGCCGGGAGGAAGCTGCTGCTGGAGCCGCAGGCCCCCGTCGACGAGCTCCTCCCCCTTCTCGACGTAAGCTCTCCTTCCCTTTTCGTCCCCCGTTCTGATTGTTGTCCCGCTCCCCCCTTCTTTCTCGTTTTGTTGTTCGGTGGAACGGGTAATTGGTTGGTTCCGCGGCGAATGTCGCGCGTGGTTTGATCTGCGGGCGGCGTGGCGGCTGCTGTGGGCGGTGCTAGGGCTTTTCCCTGGGGGATACGGTTCGTCTTCGTTTGGCTCGGTTAGGTTTTTTTCCCGGTCGTGCATGGTGCGGTCGGCGTGCATTGGGTCGAGAGTGCGTTGATTCGGAGCCGTTCGGGGGGCGGTGATTGCGCGGCGGGGGGGTGGGGGGGGAGGACTTCAATTGTATGGGGATTGTGGGTTATCGATCATGTTCCTGCCGTTCGTGTGTGAAAATATCTTTCTTGCTTCTTGGAACCTTGGGTGAATGTGGGTTCTCGCTCGTTGCGCAATCTGGTTGCTTTTTTGCGAGAGCTGCATGGTGTTGCTGAGATGGATCTGTCGATAATTGCTGTTTGTTAGGGGCGACACGTGTTCGTAGTTGCATGGATGTGTTGTTGCAGTAAGTGAAGGTTGAATCGAGAGGCAATACATGTTGGTAGTTGCACGGATGTTTTGTTATGGTAAGAGAAGGTTGAATTGAGAGGCAATACGTGTTCGTAGTTGCATGGATGTGTCGTTACAGTAAGAGAAGGTAGAATTGAGTAACCCCTCGTTCTTTTGGTAGGGTAGCCGTTATGACCGTTGATATCGTTGAAGAGGTGTCTGTTGTGAATTCTACTTGTATTTATCGCTGTCAGTTGATTATTTCCTTTTGTATCGATATTTACATTAGGATAAGGTCGAAATTGCTAATCCTTGCGTTGTTGTCGCGTGGCCACTATGACCGTTAAGGCCGTTGGAGAGGTGTCTATTGTGGATTTGTTTCTGTCAATTGATTGTTTCCCGTTATATTTCAATTTATTTCATTAAGAGAGAAGGTTGAATAGAGTAATCCTTGTTTTTTTAGGTAGGAGGCCGTTATGACGTTAGTATCTTTTGTGATTTCAATTTGAGCTTTCCGTAATACGTTGAATAGGTGCCCTTTTGAACTCACTTGAATTTATTGCTGCCAGTTGATATTTTCCTTCGACTTGAGTATTTATGACGAGTTTTTAAGGAAGAATTTTAAGGAATATGTCGATTCAGTAAATGTACGCTTGACTACGGTCCAAAGTACGGACAGCTTACCCAGTTGTTTGATCTTTTCCTTATTCGGAAATTTGCATGTTGATTTTGGTAACCACAAACACGTAAGAATTGGTATTTTGCGTATCTTTGCGTCAATTGATTGCTGATTTTTTCCGCATTGCTTTGGTATTTCGGCAACTTTGAATTTATGATTGGCTATTTGCATGTTTCTTGGAAATTCTAACCGATCTTCTCATTCTGTTTTTGCTTGGCCGTGAAGTTATTTCTTTCCTATTCGTACATCCTCCAATAAGGTGATCGAGTGTTTGATTGTTGTCTTAGGAAACTTATATTCTCTATTTAGCGTTGCCCTTATGTTTGCGTCCATGTCCTTTGTTTTTGAACTTTCTGCGTGCTTCTACGAAGGATAGAAAAGAGTTTATACGGTAGATGGTGCTTTACATATTTTCATGTTGTTCATATTGCGCATGACTATTAGAGTGGATGGTACTATTAACTACTAATTCACCTTTATTTTGCTTTTGCCTGGCAAATGAAGCGAGTTGAAACTTGTCTCTCAAGAGTAGAACAATCCCCAAGCAAATCAATGCAAAAGGCGCTTTCTCCGTCGCAAAAGGCATTAGTGGCTAATAGACTTTTCAGGCACTCAGATGTTGATGTTAAAGTTGCTGTTGCCTCATGCATTAGCGAGATAACAAGGATTAGTGCACCGGAGGCTCCTTATGATGATGACCAAATGAAGGTAATGACCGATCTTATATTAATGATGTTCCTGGATCATTGTGGCCAAATGTTTGGTGACCTAACCTTTAAGCTGTTTTAATTTGAATCTGGCAACAGGAAGTTTTTCAGTTGATCGTGTCATCCTTTCAAAATCTATCTGATAAGTCGAGCCGATCATATGTGAAAAGGGCCTCAATTTTGGAAACTGTCGCAAAGGTCAGGTCCTGCGTTGTAATGCTGGACCTCGAGTGCGATACTCTGATACTTGAAATGTTCGAGCATTTCTTAAAGGAAATAAGGTACGTCAATGCCTGATCCAGGCTTCATGGATAGTTGGGCATAGCTGGTCCTCCACTGTCTTCCTTTTTCTTTTATGGATTTGAATGATCATTTTCCAAGGTGGCATCTGTATAATCTCGCATAATGAATTCTTACTTGTGCCGACTTTGAATCATATTTGCTTAGGAGTTTGTGTCCTTTAGCAATTAAAGTTAGTTCATTTTGGTTGTGAAGGTACCACAAAAGTTTGATTGCAGTTGTGTGTATTGACAACTTGATGTGTCTTATCGGCTTTTTGTCTTTTCTTCTCGTTTCAGTCCTTTGGTTTTCAGTTGTCTCACTTTCCGTTCTATGATGTCTGTTTGGCATATTTATTGTTCAGTATCTGTGTCGGATGCCATTTGTGTGCTTGGAGGAAGTTTTGGATCTATTTGTTATTGAATTAATTGAGTGCATTGGGTGTCCCTATATCCCGATGGGGATTCCAGAATTAGCCTTTTTGGTTTGTATCTTGCAGATTATAAAATTATTGGCGTTCCTTTGGTGGTTTTAATTTCACCTAATATAACAGCATCTATACTTATGTGTTTAACTAATGTTCAACGAACAACGTTCAGGGAGTACCATCCAGAAAATGTCTTTGCATCAATGGAGACAATTATGACACTGGTTATAGAAGAAAGTGAAGATATTTCACCAGAGCTTCTCTCCCCGGTCTTGGCCAGTGTAAAAAAGGACAATGAGGTAAACGTCTTTTCAAGCCAGCTAGATCTCTTGCTTTATTGATGATTCTCCATAACATTATAAATCACACTATTTTTCAGGATGTGCTTCCTATTGCAAAGAAGCTCGGGGAGAAAGTGCTTGAGAAGTGTGCCGTGAAACTGAGACCTTACCTGGCCCAAGCATTGAAATCGTCTGGTGTTGTTTTAGATGATTATAGTAAAGTAATTGCTTCCATATGTCAAGACACAAATGGTGGAGTTGAGCAAACTGATATCCAGGATGTAAGTGAATATAAGTTCCACCTTTAATTTTGGCTGTGTTTGGTTTGTAAGATGTTCTCAGTTTTCATTTTCACGTTAAATGAGAATTTAAATGGTTCTCCATTTTGATTTTCATGAACCCACGAGATGATCTACTCTCCATCTTCAACAAGATATTCCGATATCTATATTTAGTTGCATCTCTTTGTTTTCTTTCTTTCTGTTCTGGCTTGGTGACATTATTCGCATAAATTCTTTTAACGTCCGATTTATGCTTGTTTAGATGGAAAAAGAGAGGTTAGCTGAAGAGCCTTCAACTCAAGATGTTCCTGCACCCGGCGAATCTTCAAAGACAGTTGTGAACAACGGATCTACCCAGCTGGGCAAAGATGATTCTATGGTGGATCCCGTGTCATTGAAGAAGGAAGAAGACGGTAAGGAGAGTGCATCCAAAACTGCTGATGCATCTAGCAATGGTGACCTTGATAAATTGGACAATGAGAAGGCACAGAAAGAAGAATCCAAGCCAGAACAAGCTACCAAGAGAAGAGGTAGGAGAACCAATATTTCATCTAAATCTGTGAAGTCCTCCAACATTTCTCGGGTTGATGATAAGGATGCTGAAAATGTCAAAGACGCTGAGAAAGAACCTGGCAATGATGCTCCAAGTCTGCCACTCGAAGACCTGAAATGTGAGGCAAAATTGCCATCACAAAGTGAAAAGGAGGGTGCCTCTGAGCCATCTACGGATAAAGTGGCTGATGATGAATCCAAAGATGATGTGCCCAAAGATGATGAATCCAAAGATGATGTGCCCAAAGATGATGAATCCAATGTCTCTGCTTTGCCTACCTTAACTAAGGAGATACCTGATGACAGTCAGCCCCAGGAGGCTGGATCACCGAAGGATAAAGAGGATTCGGCTGAAGAGGTGAAACCATCCTCTGTTGACATTTCCAAAAAGGAATCTGCAGAAACAGCTGGTCTTCTAGTAGAAACAGATACGAAAGGAGTGGATGATAGCGCTGATGATATGTCCAGCAAGGAGAGAACCATAACAATAGAGGAAACATCCAAGGAAACATCCAAAGAAGATGATGCGACCAGTGGATCGGATGTAAAAATGTTGAAGCAGTCAGAGAAGAAAGTGAATGCAAGCACCAGCGGTGGGGAAGGTACCTCTAGAAAGAAGCCAGAGGACAGAAGGAAGCTCGCCAAAAGTAGATTGGCTTCTGAGAAGAATGTCAAGAAATCTGCTGGGAAATATGATAAAAAGGTACTTCCACATTGAAATTTGTCTATAATATAAATATTCCTTCACTTGTTTAGTGATGAATATTTTTGCCTATCAGGGAACTCCTTCCTCCCCTAAGGTGGTGAAAAGACCAGTTAAAGATGAGAAGTACCTGGGTGAGACCTCTAAGGACAATTTCAAGAGGAAGCGTAGTTCAGGCAAAGAGGAGGTATGATATGCACTCTGTCCAACTATCTATTTTACATTTTCAACCTTTTCTTGTTTTGCATTTGCAAGTCTTAGAATTGAAGGGCTTGATTAGAGAAGAACTTAAGGAGGAAGTTAGAATCTTAAGCGATAAGAACCATCTATTTGATGGTTCTGATCTTTGTCCTTTCTCCCACCATCTCTGCAAGCTTGTGTTGTACTTAAAGTGGATAGTAGAAGTGCGTATTACTCATTCCTCCCCCAGCTCTACACCACTCCCGGCACTAAAAAGAAAATAGAAAGACTATTCCATAGGATGAAAATCCAGGGTTCTTAGTGACATGATTACTGATTGGTTGGTCATTGGTGTCCCAGGATTCTGAAGCTAAGACTAATGGAGAGGATCTGGTGGGTTCGAAGATTAAAGTTTGGTGGCCTCTTGATAAACAGTACGTATAGATTTTCTGTAGTCTTTCCCTGTGTGCCTGTTCTATTTTGCTAAGTCAAATATTTTAAGTGCTGGCTCTACATCTAACCAAACCGAAAGCCGGTTCTTGTGGTCTCAGTTTTGCTTCTGACTATTTCATAACCTTTCAGGTACTATGAAGGTGTCATTGAGGCTTTTGATAATGTGCAAAAGAAGCATAAGGTGAGATGGCAGTTATGGTTATTACATGCTCTTTTCCTCTAGTATTAGAAGTTGGGGCATTATGTCCAGAAAATTACACCTGCATGCTTTTACAGGTTCTTTATGAGGACGGTGATGTTGAGATATTAAATCTTGAGGCAGAGAAATGGAAGTTAGTTGAAGGCGATTCTGGAGATAAGGTGGGTGCTACTGGATTCAATAACATTAACCTTGTAACCTCAATGTTGTTATTTCTTATGGATAACTGAGTGATGGTTTCTCTCCACAGGGCCAAGCTGCTGATCGTGATAGTTCGGATGCTTCGCCAGAAATGTATGTCTCTTTATTTTTTCCCGACTTCTTGTTTGAGGAAATGATACATTTGACATCATGGAAATTTTTATTTGGTGGAAAATTCTTAATTTAGAGTTTATTTTGGGAAGGCTGCTTCAATATTTTTGAAATCGATACATCTGTAGGATACACGGAACATCCGACTTTCTAGTCTGAATTCGGGGCAGATTTTCTTGTAGTTCATGAATATATTATTCTCCCTTTAAAGCTTTTGGGGCATTCCTTTTTTAAGTGAAGATTTTAGGGAGTTGTCTCTTGTTTTTGGAGATGGATGCCATTGTCTGTTTTAATGCTCTTCTGAAGGACTTTATTAAGATATCTTTTCAGCATGGATAGGTTGTGGCACTTAGATCTCTATATTTGCTTCCCCTGATGTGTGATTGCTGTATCTCATACACATTGTACCGTGTTTTTATTCTTCACTTGATTCCATTCTCCTTTGTACATTCTATAATAGTAGATAGTGTTGTACTGATATCATCTGGTTGCTTCATTCAGGCCTCTTAAGAAAAAGGCGAAAGTGAAGCCTGGGCTGGCTTCAGCAAAGAAAGTGAAGATCGATATGTCGCCCAAGAAGTAAGTTAAATTTTAGATAGACTATTATTGTCCTTGGTTCGTTACATGACTGTTTGACTTTTAATTGCTAGGAGTGGAGGTGCTTCTTCTGGCAAGTCCAAAGCTTCTGCTGCTACAACATCTGGTCACAAGTCTAGGGATGGCAGGAAAACAGATGGCAATGTTGAGAAAGACCGAACCCCTAAAAGTTCTGGTAAGGCAACTTTGAAAACGTCTGGGAAATCCAAGGATACTGAACTCATGACTCTCAAAACCGGCAAATCGAAAGCCAATGATGCCAGTGCAAGAAGTGTTTCGACTAAGTCTGACCGAGAAATCCAGAAAAGTGACAAGTCCATGCGAGCCGATAAGAGTACTTCCAAGGGGAAAGGTCCGAGAAGCCTTGGCAAGGCTAATACCAGTAGTTTCGGAAAGCTCAAACTGGGTTCGGCCAAGCCAAAAGAGGATGAAAGTGAGGATGAAGATTCAGAGGAGACACCTGAAGTCCCTCTAAGTAAGAAAGCAAGGCTGTTGGAGTCTTCAAAGGCGCTGTCAGAGTCTTTGAAATCGCAGGGAGGCAAGTCGAGTACTGGGAAAAAGCGTCGAAAAGGAGCTTAAAATCTGAAAGGGGGGCCTTTGCTGTCTGAATAGAAGGTGTTTTCTCCTTGAGGCACCGGTCCATCTCTCTGGAACTCGTAGGATTTTGCATGTTTGTGGATCTTCCCGAGCTGTGCAGTATTTAAGCAAACAATTCTCTTGGTGGTAGTTAATATTATGGCCAGCATTATATTCAGATAATCTAGATCATTAGCGGTTGTAGAGGGTTAGCTTAGTTTTCCTTTTGCTGTTAGAGAGGAATGCTGTTGTTGGAACTTGACTGCAGAGCGCATTGCTTAGCTTTGTTTCCTTTTGGAAAAAAATGGGGTTATTTACAGATGGCATTAGCTTCATGTTGGTCGACTTAAAGAGGCTTTTCTTTGACAGTAATGTATTGTTAGCGTGCCTCATGATTGATGAGATTTTCGGCCGAATTATTCATCCAGGTCCTAGCACTTGCCCGTTCGATTTGCAAGGTGGGACTGCGGTGGGTATGTGGATGTTAAAGAGTTTCGCGGGTTTCTATAGCGCTTTTGTTCCTGAGTTCTACTTTGACGTGCTTGTAAAATCGATGCCACAAAGATAGCCCACTCTAGTGGCACCAGATTTGCCGAGGTGTCAAAAGAGCAGCTGTGAGAAACGACGGTTGTTCGTTAAGGTTGACGCATAAAGACCCCTTGGGACCTCTTCTCATTACATCTACTACGAGTTAATTGAATGTTTTGCTTCAAATTTCTAGCTCGGCAACAGAACAGCAAGTGGTATTTCGAGGCATGTTTCTGGGACCGGAAAAGATTGTTTAGACCGAGTCATCGGCACTCGACCCGACCTAAGAGTATGGTACTTCGGTCTCGATCGCAGCCTTCTTACTAGCATTTGTAGTGTCAAGTAGGCAGCTGTCCAAGAATTACTTGTCTAGGAGCAAGCTCACGAGAGAGCTGGAGAGCAAATTGATATTGAATTCACGCGATCTCGTGGGTTTTCTGGATTGGAGTTGGGCTCTCTGTTCATCGTCTACGAAGTTGAATTAGCCCCTGGAGCTTCCTTCATGCCTCACGTCCATGTCCAAAATACCGAGAACGTGTGGCCATGTTCTCGTGGCATAACCGTTGGCAAAACATCGGATTCGACATCACCGGAATCCTTGGATAACACTATCGTAGAGGCTCCTCGGTCCGTCTTGGTTTGAAGATTGATATCCCGGGGTTTTCCTAGTGCACAGCCGTTGGTGCTTAAAGATTGAAGCCGATGGCTGCTCGCTTAATTATCTTCTGAACTTTCGGCAATTGAAATGCCATTTGCATCAAACCAATTCACGCATCATCTCTCCTTGCATCGGCTTCTGTTTCTTATTTCAAGACGCGACATCTCCTCCAAGTGGAGTGGTGGAATCTGTTCGACGGGACGAAAATCGGCATGTTAGACCTTGTACTGATGGCGGGCTGACTACCACTGGTCTCCAACTTCTGTGGAGACCCGAGATACTCCTCTCATCTGATTCACTCTTGAGTATCGCCAAACCAATCGCATCTCCTAGATACTCTTAAATTTCATTGACAATTGCACCGCGGCGAACAATAATTACACCGCTAATTGCGAAATCAGGCACGGTGCATCACGCGAATGAAATGAGTCTTAAGAAGACAATTCATCATACGACGCAATACATGAAGTTGGAATATGCTCATGTAATTAATGATACCATCGTTCGTTCGTTTTCCGGATCGGAAGATTTCAGATCAATGGGTACACTTCATCCATCGGTACGAGCACGACACAGGTTATATATATTTAATTAAACCTGGGGTTCTTATCGGGGTCGACGAGTGGCCTTTCTTGATAAATTGAATATTTTCTCAGGGTGGTCCAGTCCTAGTAGCCCCAATTGTGGTCCTTCCAACTACACTAATGTAAGGGTATTCCCGAAGCCTCCTTTATTTTTTGTTTATCTTTTTATTCTTTTTTGGATGATTTTAATTCATCCTTCCCAAACTTTTGCTGGTTGGGGCTTGTTGTCAGGGTCAAAGAAAACCCTAAGGAGGACAATACACATCAGGAAAAGAAACTTGGGTTGATTTCTCTCGATTTGCCTTGCCCCTTATTGGACAATTGAGGGAGGTAGGTGTAGGCAACAAATACAGAATTATGAAATTAGCGGGTATTTCGTGATACTGCGAACTTATCTGAAGTGAGCTTCCTCCTTGTAAAAGAATAATATATAAGATTAGGGTTTTTAAGAGAAGATATTCGAAATGTAATTTATTTACAGGTGGTTTCCTTGAAGCGCGATTGAACCATAGACGGATTTGTCCAAACATCGAAACGAGTGAGCTCTTACATGTTATGCTAACCAAGTTAACGTTAACCGATGCAGAGAATCCGAGACCTCACGCTTCTTGCATCTCTAATTGTGTCATCGTATCGTCCCCATCAAACCCTTAGATATTATTGCATTTCTAATTGTGCCATCTTATCGCCCCCATCGAAACGAGTGAGCTCTACATGTTATGCTAACCAAGTAAACGTTAACCAATGCAGGGAATCCGAGACCTCATGCTTCTTGCATTTCTAATTATGTTATCTCATCACCCCCCATCAAACCCTTCGATATTATTGCATGAAAACTTTCACGAGCGCAGCAGTTGGAAACAAAGCTTTGGCGCATTAAATCTGGATTAACGACAGTACAGTCTTAGAAAGACCGTTGGGAATTATTTGATTATACGGTGTCTAGTGGGTGGAACACGACCATAGGCCTTTGGACAAAGAGATCATGCACCAGCAGCACTTAACATCGGGAGAAACTTTCCAAATGTTGCCAGAATTAGAATCGTGGGTACACCCTATTTACCCTAAACGGAAAAAAAGAGAGGCAAAAGCAGGAGAGCGGCTCGATGCTCATCAGAACCATAGCGTTTTTCCCTTTGTAGCCCATTTACCTATCATCTTTTGTCGGTTCCTTATCCAGATGTGCGTGACAATTACCGCATTTCATGGCCAAAAGACAAATTCTTGTGAAGTGAAAAATGAAACTTTAATTGGGTGGTCCATGGCTCATGCGTGCGGTCCTTACCTATGCCCTAATACTGACAAGTTTGATGTCCTCCATTCAATAAATTTGAGCTTTGATATGTGACAATTACATTACAAAATGGGAAAATTACCAAAAAAGTCCTAAACCTTTTGCAATTGTGCAAATTCAGTCTATCCGGTCACTTTTGACCGGCCGACGCTGACGTGGACGCCGGCCGGACCGGCTAGGGGGAGGCTTGCAGGCGAGGCCGACCTCGCCCAGCGACGGCGAGGCCTCGCCCAGATCTGGCGAGACCTCGCTATTGCTGGGCGAGCTCGACCTCGCTGTTGTTGGGCGAGCTCAACCTCGCCCATGGCCGGCGAGCTCGACCTCGCCCAGCGACGGCGAGGCCTCGCCCAAATCTGGCGAGCCCTCGTCGGCCATGGGCGAAGTCGAGTTTGCCGTTGCCGGGCGAGGTCGAGCTCACCCAGCGACGGTGAAGTCTCGCCAGATCTGGGCGAGGCCTTGCCGTCGCTGGGCGAGCTCGACCTCGCCCATGGCCGGCGAGGTCGACCTTGCCCAGCGACGGCGAGGTCACCTCGTCGGCAAGCCTCCCCCTGGCCGGTCCGGCCAGGGGAAAGAAGGAAATAAAAAAAGAGAAAGGAAAAAAAAAAGTAATGCCACGTCAGCCGACCGGCGTCCACGTCAGCGCTGGCCAGCCAAAAGTGGCCGGATGGACTGAATTGGCATAATTGCAAAAGGTTTAAGACTGAAATGGCTAAAAAAAAGATTTAGGACTGAATTAGCACAATTGCAAAAGGTTTATGACTTTTTTGGTAATTTTCCCATTACAAAATCTTAACCCCATATCTCTCTCTCTCTAATGTGAAAGATGGAATGGGCATTTGTCTTAATCATCTGTACCTTGTGGACTTAAGTACCTCTCTTCAAACGGACAATACAAATCATGTGTTGCACATTGCTTTCCATTCAAATGCTTTTCATTTTGCTGCTGCCAGCAATTTACTTCTTACGAGTGGATTAGCGTCGGTTTTATCCCATTCTATTCCAATCCGTGCTTGGTGCAACAATTTGGAGCTATGTTATCTTCATCTTGCTTGCTTGCTTGCGTGTGCTTGAGAATCGAGCCACGTTAATTTCGAGTTTCTTTTAATGGATAATTACAAATGAAAATTCTCCTATTAAGTTAATAATAATTCATAACTAGAAAATATCAATCTCTTACTTTTTTCTTTTTTCGTTTCTTCTCTTCTATTTTCATCCCAATTCAATCCCAACCAACCATGTCTGATTCACGGGGCCAAACCCTCAAAGAAAGTGCTCCCAATAGTTACTATTCGAGGTGAGTTGCACTTATGAATCAAGCCACAAGTCTCCTAATCAATACAGGATATAGATGGAAAAAATTCTCTCATTCAAATTAGGGATCCACATTAGGCGGGTAGAATCCTAGTGAGGGCGGGCCTTGCAAGTTTGCAGCCGTTTGTATCAAACGATCTAAGAGATGACTCTCACAATATAACACTCACTTTCCCCTGCCGTCCGACATTGCTTTGGGCTATTTTTAACTACCTGCTTGATCTATTTCGGTCAAATTTCCAAAAGAAGTGCTCCAAGTGATGACATGAAATTCGCAAGTTTTTATGAGTCAAATGACAAAAAATTTCAATCTGGAATCGGGGGGCGGCACATTGGATCGTGCCGTCTATGCCTCCCCCAAGTGAATCTCTCTGACTAATCAAATAAATCTTTTACGAATGCTGCAAATTATGTGCGAGTTGGTCATCGTGGCTACATCTTGGGAAGGCCCGGCTCGAGTCGTCTAGGCCCGCCCAGTGAGAGTATCAACAAAAGAAAAAATTTCTAAAAGATTTTATCTAAATGATGTAGAAATGCAGCAAGTGGGGATCTAAAGGGCTACTATAAACATAAGCCCCAAAGATAAGGGTGTTAACCTCACTCTGATTCATTCGTAAAGATGTTGTACATCGGATTAATGAGTGTTTTCAAATTACTTGTTGAGCATATCTAATTTAGGATGATTGGGTTTCCAAGACATTTAGAATATTAATAAATTCATAATCGGTCAAAGATTAACCAGATTTCATTGCGTCTTCAATTGCTAAATTTTCTTAACTAATTACTCAAGAAGTATCTTGAGAATAACAAAATTCTTAACATCGAAAGGATTTTATTAACGAGTGCTTTCAAGACGCTTGTTAAACGTGTTTGATGAGATTTTGAAATACTGATTTTTAAAATGTCCATATCACATCATGAGTATTGTCACTAAACCGACAACTGTATACTTCCTTATCTGGTTTAGCAAAATACATGATGATAATTTAATCTGTACTTTTATAAAAACTTATCCGCGAGTTAGTCGCAGGTAGGACCTATCTCCCGGGTTGACGCAGTCCCATTCTGAAGTGCCAGATTGCCAAGACGACCACACCACTCGAAAGTAAGTTTACATGCACGAGGAATTGACGACACCAATCGAATCGACGGCTAGAAATCAATCCACCAGCGTCTGTTCTTCCCAAGAAATACATCCTGGGGAAGAGGAGAGGAAAGAAAAAAGAAGCTTTTTAGAAAGCGTTTGGACAATTTCTTCAATGATCAAATAAAAAAAAGATAGTGTCGTTTGTTCCCGCGACTTCTCGTAATTCATCTTGTCATACTCAATATTTTTTTCTTATGTCTGACAAGTATTTGTACGCTGACAATTAGGATGGAAGATTTGTGCGAAAAAAAATGACACTTATCAAGCTAACTCGGTATGAAATAGTCTAAAGTAGAGCCTGACTTGGATCCTTAGTGGTGATTACCAAGGGTTCCTCACCAAAGCAGGTGAAGCCGAAACTTTCGACTAGGGCTGCTCCGCCTGTCTAGGTATATGTACCTAAAAGGCTGATAGGATTGTGTTTCTTATTTTAACGTACCGGTTCTTGCACGCCCAACCTCCTAATTAAGAAGAAAGTTATTCTTCCCTCTCCCTAAGGAATACTCCCCGGTTTAATGTCCCAAAGTTCAGACAAAACAGTTTAAGGTCAACGGTATGAAATAACCCAATTTTCAAAATATAAATTTTCTTTAATGGTGTTATTTAACAGGTGTCCAGAGGTTATTAAAATCTTTTTCTTTTGCCTGTTTTGGGTAATTGGCAATAGAAGTGAACCTTCAATCGCTCCGGTTTCCTCATTTAACCAAAAGGGCAAAGACGAGCACGCTCTCTCTCTCCACAGTCCACACACACATTTTCTCTTTCCTTTTTTGCAGTGGTTTTGCCATTTTCGGTCCATGGCCGTCGTTCACTGTACGATTCATTCTGCAACATCTGGTACGCTATCCCCGAAACCTGTAGACACCTTGCATGTGTGTTTGTGTGCCTGTGTCTCTGGAGACAGAGAGAGAGAAAGAGAGTGGGGTTTGGTTTTGTTGCTCTTGTTTTGGGTGTTCTTGACGGGGGGGAAAACCCTAGCTGTCACCGACACGCGATGATGAATCTCTTTGATGTTTAGAGACTCCTAAAGTAACTCTCCTCAAATGGGTATCTCCACCATCTCCACAGATCTGATTTCTCCTCCTCCTCTTCTTCTTCTTCTTCTTCTTCTGAATTCTGCTCCATTGTCTTGCTGTTCTCTTGCATCATCTCTTTGTTAGGGTTGATATGGGGCATAACAAGAACTTGACAGAAGAGAGTGAGCACACAGAGGTAATTGTATAGAGGCTATACCTTTGCTTTTGTGTGCTCATTTCTCTTTTCGTCAAGCTTCCCGTTGCCCGACTCTCTCTCTCTCTCTCTCTCTCTCTCTCTCTCTCTCTCTCTCTGTGGCTTTCTATGTGGGACTGGCAATGAGCCAAAGCAAAAGAAAACTGAGAACGCGCGACTGGTTCACATGGGTTCTGTGAGTCTGGGTTTGATTAAGCTGTGAAAGCTTTTTCCTTTGTTTCCTTTTGGATTTTTTAAGCTTGATGATCAGCAACAGTTAGCAGCTTCAGAGAGCGTGACTTTCGATGGGGTAATTAATGCCCTTTACTGTGCGGATTTAACGGAAAATTGCATATTTTATGCGAGACCGTTCAGGTAATTAATAATCTTCATTGTTATTTATTTATTGCATTATTTTGGTCTTAGACTCAGAGAGGAATACCCTGTCCTTCGACTCTTCTACAGTTTGATTTTCTTGCATGCAATATGGAACAGGGAAAGCATGACATAGTTAATGTCCATAAGAATGCTTATTTTCATGTCTTATAATCTGTTCTAGTTCTTGGTCTCTAGCCAGATTAAGTGGCTTTTTACTGTATTTTTCAAATTAACATGCTAGAAAACCTTCTTAGCTAGTTCATACTCCCTCTTCCATTCTCAATAAATATAGGATTTGGAGAAGGACAACAGTTCTAGAGCCATCAAACTGTGGGATGAGAGACACTTCGAGTAAACAAGATGTAGTCTGATGATCAAGCCACTACTGGAATATGTCTTGGCGAGTTTGTGGATTATATTCATCGTTTATCTCTCATCTTCTCTGGGTTCTTGCAGATAAGAAATGCTCCTTTGGAGTCCCGTTGAAAATAATCGGGTGAAAGAATTGATGGCACCGAGAGAGCAACTGTTTACTGTCGGTTTAATTTTCCCTCATTTGTTTGCACGGCTAATTTTGTTTGTGTTAATAAGGAGAGGCGATTTTTATCTTTTTGATGGATTATAGCTTGATAGGAACCTAGCTATAGGAGTCCCGTGAGGAAACTCACTTAGTATTTTCGTTCTTTTAAGTCATTTCTTTCCTTCTTTTGATGGTTCAAGGATGATAAGGATGATGAATAATTGAGTTCTCTCTCTCTCTCTCTCTCTCTCTCTCTCTCTCTCTCTCTCTATCATGCGCACGCTAGCGCAAAATATGATAGCCTTGGTGAGGTACCACATTGATATCAAAGCATCGGGCTTAAGCCCTCCACCAAGAGCCAAGGGTAAATCCCTTTCACAAAGAAGGTAGGCCCAACTGGGCGGTGGGGGTATTAGTTCCATGATTTGGGAATCTTCTTGAATCTTGGCACAAGCAGTTATACAAGGCTGATTTGGAGTCAAGTCTCTTACATATTTAGATGGCGTTCTGCTAAAGTATGATTACTGTAGAAATGGTACTTCTCAAGCTATGAAATATAGTTTATGTGAAGTATTGACCTTCTTCCATGTCTCTTGGGGATCAGAATTTGAGATATATAGTTTTCATGGACAAAAGTAGAAGAATACTGGGGCGAATATTTTCTTCTTTGATCGATCTAGCTTTGTTCCACTAAATCCTTTGTTTGTTTGCTGCAAGAGTTTGTAGATTCTTGGCTACTACTTAGCAACCCCTAGTCTGTCCTTATACTTGCTCCTTAACATACATCAACTGAGATGTCCCACCAACTAAAATAGTTGTTTCTTCCAAGAAACATGCTTGACATATACTGTTTTTATCAGAGAAGCAGTCTAGAGAGCAATTCCACACATTTTTATTGTCCTTTTTGTGATTTTCTTGCATATAACTTGTGTTTATTCTCTCATTCTCTTGAGGATGAAAATATGTCCTAGTAGTACAAGCAAGTCGTGGCTTACACACAAGGTAGAGTTTCCTGAGAAGCAAGGCAAAGAAATGAAAGATAAGGGTAGTGGCACAACAGAGGTATGTATGAGGTTGCTCTTCTATTTCCGAACATTATATCATGGTGGCCGCTGGGTTTTACAATTGGGAGTCGAACAGGCTGTAGGTACTTAATGAACAAACCTTGTGGTGAAAGGGTTCGATAGTGCTTAATTTTTCATGATTTGTGTCATAGTGAGTTGTTGGCTTTACTAAATTTGCACGCTGTGATATATGAATATATGAATAGAACAGTTGCTTCATCATTTTGTGAAGGTGTGTAATATTCCATGATTTATGACATCATACATATATATGTAGTTTAACATTTGGATGATCACTTTGTATGGTAGAGATAGTTTTTTAGGTGGCACTTTTACGGAAAAAAGAAGAAATGCTTTGTTGCTTATCCTATCTTCTGTTCTCACACATCACATGTTTCCTGTACATTTAGTGTTTCCCTTGTAGCTTGTCTAACATATCACATGTTTCCTGTTCCATTAGCGTCTCTTTTGTGGTACTTATAGAGCATTATTATGGTGCATAATTTGCTGATGCATATGTTGACCGAAGAGACTTTGAGAGAAATTTTGTGGTTTACCTGCTTGTAGAGTTTGTCGATGTCATCTACATTTGGCCAACTATATTAATCAACATAAAATTGATCCTTTGAAGGACTTTGTGCTTATTCCTTTTCATCTTGCACTAATCAATTGCTTTTACGATGTGGAGATACTTTTTATGGAACTTATCTATCCATCTTTCCTTTTCACCATATGTTTGTAATTGGGTTTTCATCCTACTTTGCTAGTTGGCAAATTCTCATTTTGATGATCTAATCCATGATATGATAGTCGAAGTGGTTTCTTTAGTTTTCATTTGCTTGTCCAATTATTGAAATTTGGAGCTAGAACATTTGGCAAAATGCTCGATGATAACGAGTGTGAATCCCAGAGAACTGCTTCTCGAACCTAAACCGGTGGTGGTATTAATACGGCACATGTAAGTTGTGATGCATTATTCAGGTGAAGATATGGTACTTCTTCAATGTATTCAATTATATTTTTCCATTGTTGGGTGCTTCTGTCTTATTTCTTTCTGGTGTACTTGTTGGGAAGGTTTTGTATTGATTGTTATTTTCTCCATCCTGCTATTTCTGACTGAGAGTCACGGGATGCTTCAGTGTTGATTGGGATTACAGTTCATAAGAATTACATTATACGGGCTTTTATTGGAACATTATCGTAAATTACTTCATGAAATGGAACAGTATTGGTCTTATTTAAGGTGAAGAACTAGTTTTTTTCCTTTTTACCTTTTTGCCATGAAGAGGTAGATAGGCTTTGACATGATATGAAACCTTGTCTTCTTACTTTTGGTATTGCTGCTTAAGGTTCTTCTTTTACTTTCTTTGCCTTAACAGCTTATTATGAATTTTTAGTTATAGATGGGGGACTTCTCTAATTGCATATCCCCTTCTACATTTCAGATTTAGTTCTTTAGGTCTCAAATAAAAGTGGTGATCCCATAAGAAATTCTAGTACTTAATCACACATTTGACATGCTTGTACTGGACTTGCACAAGGATATGAGTGCATTTGGGCTCAAGTCTCATGTCTTACCTGTTCATTTTGAAAGTGAACGAACAGGTGAAGAACGCGGGCCTTTGCGTCCATTTTCTGGGGAAATGGACGAGAAGGGGATGAGCAAGGGGGAGAGAGAGAGGGGCGACGGCTGGTGGCTGGAGGGTGGGTGACTCAAGGTGGTGTTGTGCGTGCGGCGGTGGTGATTGGGACTCCAGTAGTTTGGTAGCTTGGTCACAGTACATGTTACGAGGTGTAGGAGCAACACCTCACATTACAAAATTTGCATTTGAGTAGTTGGAAATTATGTTCTTCTTATTGTTTTTATTTGCCAATGAAACTTTTAGTAATTGGAAGAATACCATGTGCACCAGAGGCTTAGAAAATTAATCACACAAGACCTTGTTGCATCCTTCATTAACTTAGCTTATCTTAGATTAGATGTTCTATCATCATGTGTAACATTGCATAACAAAAGTATAGGGTGATGAGAGTCACAACTATCAATCTGCATACGTATTCTACATATTGTAAATGCTAGGTCTACCAGAAGTTGGTATTACTCTCGTGGTTGCGTCGCATGGCACGCCCAGGTGTGAACTTTATTCATTAAGTTCTCTATCCTAATCAACTTTAACCTATTGTCGAATTTGGCAACTTGTACATCATATGTATCAATCTTTGCAAACGATTGTAATCATTTGATGGGAGACCGACTGTGTTTAATAATATTAATCAGTCTACCATGGAATTCAATATAAACAAGAAGAATTTTAGTGAAATTAGGAAAGTTGCTGCAAATCATTTATATGTTAGAATTCATGCATGCCCAAGTTGTGGAGAAGTCTAATACAATGGAAAATGGGATGGATAGCAATGAAAATATTGTATGGTATGGTAAGCAAGTTTTGCTTTTTGAAAATTTAACTTTATGTAATTGTTAGTGTGCATCATAACTTTACCATACTTAATAAGAGGTACTCGAAAGAAAGAAAAGAAAGAAAAATTTACCTATGAAGTGCGCTTCTTATTTTATATTTAGTATATTTATCAGTATTGTAACTAGATAAAACCGGTGTGACCAATGAAAAAGGTTATAATGTTATTTTAATATCTTGATGCTATGTCTGGGACACCATCATGAAGAAAATTATGAGAGTAAACACTACAAATTTGAAATTTTCCTCCTCTCTCCTCTCACAATATTTTCAAATTTTTAATTATTTTGCGCCCAAATTTTGATTCCATTCACTTTCTCTCCTTTTCCAAACAGACTCGAAAAGTAAAGAAATAAAACAACAAATACTTTTTTGAAAGTCCCATGAGATATTCTACTGATCGAATGAAAATGTTGTCCGTCATATTCGTTGAGCTGTATCTATGTTGCTAGTATAGGTTGAGATATATAGTATTCGAGATATATATATATATATATATATATATATATATATATTGTTTACATATATATATTATTTATCTGATGTGTAACTTTACAAATCTAAGGTTGTGTCCCGTTTGTGCGATTTCAGGGTTTGCACTGTCTCGGACGACGCACCGAAGGAGAATATCAATCTTTTGAGTGGTTCTAGGGATTGATGTATCGCTAGTTTTATGCTGGATATATGTATGCTCTAGGCAATTGCGCTACATTAATTAAGGTCAAAATTGTAAGTATGTTTCCCGGATATATTATTTTTTGATTGGTCTCTCTTCCAAATTAATGAGGAATAAACTGATATGTCAATGTACTCTTTTAACTAGTCAGAGACCGAAAAAGGTCCAAGGGCTATTGCAATTGAAAAATGGATTATGGAAATTTTGCTATGTGATGGCCAAGAGAGCTGCTGATTATAGTGACACATGAAAGAGTTAGGGTCGAAGATCACTTCCGGCTTGGTTGCTCAGAAGATCGCTTCTTTCCTGATTTCTAAAGTAGAATGAGTTTGAATGTTGATTAGAGCCTTTCACATACCCTATCCAAGGAAAGCAACCCCGCCGCCGCCCCCCAATCTATTCAAGTGTGTAGTGGGAGAGGAGAGAGGGGTCGAGGGCTCCCTTCGCATTTTTTGAAGGTTTACAAATAGGGTGAAGCTGAAAATAGGGGTGAGCATCGGTCCAGGGAGCATTGGTTCAGGGTTCGACCGTTTCTGGTCTGGTTCCCAGAGAGAGTGGGCCAGTACCTAGTCTTGGGACCCTTGGAACCGACATTGTGTGGGCTGATCCTTTGTACTTGGGCTTTGGGGTTGGTCTAACCCGAATCAACTTTCTATATATATTTTGTCAAAGCCCTAGGCTCCTCCTCTTTTAGGCTGCTGATTTATAGTGGTGACGAAGGTGGTGACTTTGTACGGAAGAATCGGTGGGACTTAATGGCACGAGTTTTCCACAATGGACATCGTCATTGTGCTTTTCTTTCTTGGGGCTTAGGGTAAGAATAAAGATGATGGAGGAGTTTACTGGGGGGGTTTCGCTAAGCACGAGATTGTCCTTCGATTGGATGGATGCAAATAATAAATGATGAAAATAACAGCATATTTGCGCCGTTTAAAATAAAAAAAAAAACCCATTGTCTCTCTTCGCTCGCTTTTCTTCGCTGGATCTCTTGACTCTGATTGCTCACCTCACCAGCACCAGCTCAGATGGTGACATCGCTCACCTCTCTTGGCCCACCTCACGAACGCAACTCGCTCACCTCTCTTCCCTCGCCCCACGATGCAACTTAGCCGGTGAGTTCCCGATTTGTGCTTGATTTGAGAGCTTAAAGCTCGTGTGAGTTCTCAATTTGAGATGGGTATTTATTTTTCCACTTATGTTTCGTGGTTTGTGCTTGATATGAGAGCTTCAAGTCATTAGAAAATTCTCTTTCTTAGTGATGATAATGCTTCCTTATCTATGGAGTAAAGTCCATTTGGTGATAATTCTCGTGAGAAATCTTGCTTTTTGTGTTTTTTGAACCTCGAATAGTCGTATGATGATCTGCTGCTTGTATGCTTTTCCTTGAAGCAGATGCTCAATTTCTTTCCTTTAATATTTGCATGTGATAAATCATGTTTTGACTTTGCTCTACTAGTCATTCATTTGACTGTATAATTGTGGTTTTGATTGTTGCACGTGTCTTTAGGTGTCCTAAGTGATAAATGTTGGTTGGATTTTGTACTAGAAAATGATCTTATATTTTGCGGACTTTGATGATAATGATGATATACTGATTTTGCAATTAATAATTACATGTTAGTACCGAAGTATTTACATGAACTAGATGAATCCATATAACTATTGTTAAGTATCAATTATGTTTGTTGTTTGTTTTATTTTCAGGTGTTCAGAATTTGAAATAATCTTTTAAAAATGAACAAGATACGAAGTTGTATAATTCATGGTTTATGTTACGTATGTTGAACTTTTTATTATTTAATTTTATTTCACATGTTCGTCTTCTATGGTTTGTTGCCTTTGGCAAGTGGAGATTTCTCCTGTTGGCTTATCTTAAATTTCTATTTGATTTGTACCGGTGTTCATAGTTTGGTTGCTCAATATATGTAATTTCAAAGAGTATGTTTTCCCTGTCAAGGAATATAAAAAATGAAACAAAGAAAACGAATCAGTTGGTCCTGGGTTGACCTAGAACTAGACCGAACCCACAGGGTTGATCCAATCCTCGGTCCCTGGTCCCAAAAATTGGGGTTCCAACATTGTGCGGGTTGGTCCTTGGGTTAGGTGTTGGATTAGCTCAACCCGGACCATGCTCTCCCCTAGCTGAAATCGAGAGAGAAAGTCACTCACTTCAAAACTACCTAAAAGAATATCTCGGCCTCATAAAAAAGGTGGGCGAAGGATGTTTGTTGTAATCTAGTCCCATCCTTTCTCTTGAAAAAGGCTTCGAAAGATTGCATCAACTACTAAATGATAGGTCGTATTGAACGATGAACTAATTATAGCAAAGCCCGTGTATCTATTGCCGATTAGAATTGGCTTAGGTTACAACTTCTTTGACCTTTCGGCACTGGGTAGGTGTCAATCACATTAATTGTCTTTTGGCTTTCCCTCTTGGATCAAGCATACATATTTCCGGTACAATTGCATTGGCCTATCGCCGAATTTGTGCATCGAGAGAGATTTGCAGCACCTCACACTTGGGTCCGAGTTTGAGTTTGGCTAGAAAAGAAGAGAGATAGGGGGAAAAGATGAATCCTAGTTCTTATTTGGTATATGTTAAAAAATTCTAAGATACTTACATTTGTCAGATACTTTGATGTTTAGGTTCCTACAAGGTCCATTCTCTTAGTATCTTGTTGCGGTTAATCAATAAAGAGTCGTGAGTAATTAAAAAAAGAAAAACATGTAGCATCCTATGACAAGCTCAATTGGTTAATTCGGAAGCCATAAGTTTACTAGGTAAATAAAATTCTCGAACACTCACTCGATACTTTGATGAAATTTGAGGGATACTCTATATTTAGCATTGGGTATGTGCATGTAAAGTCCTAAAAATTATAAAGAAAATATGCTCAAGTCCTTAAATTTTTAGCTAGTGGAATTAGGTATTAAAATTTGTTCAAAAAATGTAATCACATGATTTCATTAATTCTATTAATTTCGAGTGACAGAAAATATGAGATGACTTTCTAAAATTGGTTGAGGAATAATTGGCGATGATGTGGTGCCACATAAGAGAATAACACAAAAAGAGAAGAGATGGGGGCAAGCTCTCGCACGACGGAGGCACCATTGCTGGCCATCACTGCGTAATGACCGACCCCAGCCCTCATCAAGTAGGTCGATATTGGCACAATCCTAAAACGAAACTCTAACTCGAGCAAAAGGCCAAGTGACATTTGGAGACATTTCAGGAATGTCAAAGACACCTCCAATCACTTCAAGGCATGACCAATCCATCGTCGTCGTCCTGGACTGTACAAGCTAGGAACAGTTGCTGCACTGTCCATAATTCAGCTAGTTAAGAACCAGGCCCCATGCTTGGTGATCGTGACAATCCACGCCTGAATCAGCCTCATGCGTAGGGAAGGAAAAGGGGTTACATTTGGGATAGCTCTCATTCCAAAGCCCTCTCATCAATTGTAAGAAAATCACCCAATCAATTTAAAACTTGTTGTACGGATATCAATTCAATCCTAAATTTTTAAATTTTGTCAATTTAGTTCTAAACCTTTACGTGGATTCTAATATAGTCATTCCAATCATTTTTCGTTGGAGAATCACTGATGTGAGGATGTGCCACGTAGGATGATCAGCGATGATTGGACCGCCACGTCAACGATTTTTGGCGAAAATTGACCGAAGGGACTACATTATAATTTTATGCAAAGATTTTGAAGTAAATTGACAAAATTCAAAAGTTTAGGTCTGAATTGACATCCGTCTAATGGGTTTGGGACTGATTGGATAATTT